GACCACCGAGATCTACACTCTTTCCCTACACGACGCTCTTCCGATCTATCTTGATCCACTGACATCGCACGCGCTCATCACGCATCGGCCTGTTTGGTCACTTGCGAATCCACCAATGAGTGCCTCTGCGTGGGGCCCCGACATACGATGACCGCACTCGTTTTCACTGCCCACACTGCCCAAGTACGTTCACACACTGTATGGACCTTTTAGACCAAATACAACTCCATGAAACCGTACGGCACAATACTGCCGGCTACACCACATTACTAGATAACACTTAACTAGCATGCCAACGTTGCATATCATGTGTTCCTCAAAGCATCCTCCTCTGTACGGTAAGATAGGTCTACGGCTCCTGCCGCATATGTCCCCTCAGCACCATGTACGATCCAAGCCTAGTAATCTGAGTGTTATCTGTCAACCACGGCTTGTTTTACTAACAACTACCGCTTCACCAGACCACGCCAGCAGCCTACTGTTTCTTACATGTTTAGTAGCTAAGCAGTGGACTGGAAACGAGACGGCAACGCCTGCCTGACAACCCCTGGTTGTGAAAATCCAGCTGTATGTGTGACAATTTACTGTCACTTAACACTAACTCGCGCGCAATTCACCACTTTTTTTCTTCAGTATGCTGAAGTACGCGGTGGAAATCCTCAGATTCCACAGTTAAGCTGTCACATTTATAACCACACATCCCAATGAAAGGCCTTTTAAATTAAGCCGCAATATTGTTTCTGTCCATTCCTAAGTAGATTTTCTTATACCTATATAGGTTGGCCATCTTTAAGCATAACGCGCATATTTGTATGCCTCTTTAATTTTTGAACTCAAAAAGTGAGATCATCTGAACAGTAGGCTAGCAAGGTTTTCACGAAAGGCAAATTAAAAGTAAATATTGCGAACTGTTCATCGACGAACACTTGTTAGTCGACAGTTGCAGTGTTCAACCATTATGCGTTTTCGGTGGTCTAGTAGTGTTATAAGTTTGCGTATGCAATATTATTTACAGTGAAGCGAGGACATTGTGTCTGAAAAAGTTGGAAAGATAATTTAGATATAAAGCATATCTCTCCCAAAGATCTGGCAGTGCAGTTGTTTGAGCACCGATCTGATACTGTGTTTTCTCGGTGCACCATCATTGTTTTTTTAAAAAAAACCATCCTATATTATCATTTTTGGTTATAAATTGAGCACAGCACATCAGCGTAAGCGCTGGGAAAGTTGCCCTATAAAATCAGCCATTCTCTCTTCTTTTCGGATAATTCAGTTCACACAAATTAACAAAAAAAGGATTTTAGGTCGTCCTACTTTCAAATGCTCGCAGTTCTTCAAGCTGAGGTCCGCATTCCAACATAGGTGTAGTGATTAGGTCCCTGGCACTTTTCTATTTGTCTCCATAAAATATGCAAATGAGTGCGAATTGTTGTCTAGCAGAAGCTTATAATCGCACAAGCCATCCCAACAGATTATGTTAAAACGAGCAGCATTTGTCTGGTGAAGTAAATGCCTCATTATATGCCAAAGTACAATTCCTAGACTTGCTTAATTACTGTCTTCAGTCTGTCAGCGCGGCTTCTAATTATGTGAACAATCCAGTCATTTCATTTGCCAACAATATATATTTGTCTGCATAGATACGCTGGATCTGAATTCATTGACGAAACGTATCAGATTATCGCCAATTCGCAGATAGTGCTTCAATAGGTGACCTTCCAGCTAGACGAGATGCAATTTTGTGACAAAGGAAGTTCAAATAAAGTTTACATTGAACGACCTAACTCACGCAGATGGCCGTTATTTGCAACATATTGGTTAGCACTCGCAAACTAGCATTATATTATTTACAAATGGAAAAAATGCTATAACTTCTTTTAAAAGCACAAATTTTTAAAAAAACTTAAAATACAGAAACGTCAAAAATGGCTGTAACTGTGACCAGTGGCTGGTAATACAAATATCATTGTGCAAAAGGAAACAGCTTTCTGTTAATCTAGCTTATTTCTATTTATTTTTTTAGTGGATTACTTATAGATTCATCTCACCCTTGAAATTTCGTCAAATAGTTTAAAATTTTCTGTTTCTTCAAGGAGTTTTTTTCCATAAACATATATTTTGATTCATAGATTTATGAAAGCCTTATTTATTGCATTTACAGAAGACGTGGGCCTTCGGATATCCTTTCTTATGAAAATGACCGTTTGGGTCATATTCGTTAATTCTCTTTAACATGACGACTTATTGTCGAGAAAAATAAACGCCTAATAAAATAGTTGAAAAACAATGTGCCTACGTTCAACTCAAGAACGTCCCTTGACAACGTAGTTATCTAAAAGCAATTTATTTAGATAATCGGCTGAGAAATGTGCATTTTAACATTTTTCCAAGGTATCCTTAAAATATCGACGGAGAACTTTGACCCATGTTTTGCTTTTCCTTGATAATCATTAGAAAAATTCTGCCGAAAATGAACGTAGTCACTTTACATTTTGTCGCTATATTTTATCCCTTTTAGATTGCAAACACGTCAAATAATTGGCGACTATACAAAAATAATTTTTGAAAACTGCCTTCCGTTCGTTCCGTTTCTAACCAAAACATTAATGGGAGCGATATTATACAGAAAAAAAATCATGCTATATGATTCAAATTTAATACAGCTTGTTGTGGACGTTCATCGGCATGCTCATTTATAGGTACTTTGTTACCGGTCCCAAATCTCACCGTGGTAAAACAACAAACAACTTTGGTAGAGCTTTCGATCGCAGAAACTTCAGAAATTGGCGAACATTATAAAAATGAACTCGCTCCTAGTTTATGGAATACAATGTGACTCCTCTCTTTGACTTGGATATCCGGCAACCTCGGAATTTGTCCAAATTCTACCTGCTTTCTTTTAGTGAATATAAATGAGCATCCGGTTACAATTTTATTTATCGATGACTAACAATAGCTTTATTGGGAAACAGAAAGGTACTGCTATAACGGCTTTTATGAGACAGGAATTGAAACCATAACTCATGCCAGTAATCTAAAAATGCAGTTGAAAAAGTGTTCCACATAGCAAATATATTATTGGTGGCTCAAGGTCTCCAATCGGGTACGTGGCCTTGGAGTCCGCATTCCTGGCGGTAAAACGCGCTATGTCTCCCTCAACTTAATCAAAATGTCCACTCTTAATTCAAAATCAGGTGATGCAGGGAAGATTATGAAAACTATAATGGAACTAACGAAGTGCGTAGCTATAAACCGTCTCTCTTGGAGTTAATGAATAGTCACATACTTTACTAAAAGAAGCAGGAAAGACATAAACGACTAAATTTGCCTACAGAAAGCATTAAGCGGAGGCAGCTGTGACACATCAGAAAATACGTTTTCTTTTCTTTGTTTAGCAAACATGGCGGGGGTTCGTACAATATATTTTGTTTGGTTACCCCATGGAATCGGTGTGTAATGCATCACTGAAAATACATCCGATAGACATTATCATCAAATACCTTAATAAAGGTATCGATATGCGAATTGATCTGTGTAGACAAACAGAGATATTGGACGAGTGTTGTACAACGTGGAGGCAGGAAGTTCCAGTGTAAAACGAGCATGTTAGGAGTGTAAACGATTGTTTTTGAAAATTATAACGGGTTTTTTAAATCATTATTGCCAATGTTCGAACAATAACAAACCTCTTGTTCTATT